CTCATCTGTGTGCTTCCCTGTGACGTGGGGGTGACCATCCATTTCTCTCTCAGTAGGAAGGGGCTACCGCTGGTCCTGGGCTCGGAGAGTGCTGGACTTTCAACGCTGGGCCCAGGACCACCCTGAGGGCCAGGCATCCAGGAGGGTCTCCCCCGCCCCCCAGCCTGGTGTCTCTCTTTTGGTCTCTCCAGTTCTGCCTCTTCTCGTTCTTGTTTGTTTTTGTCACTCTCTGCTTCTCCTACCTCTCTCTGTCTCTTTCCCTCTCCAAGCCTCTGCATGTGTCTGGTCTCCTTTCCTCCTGGCCTGCAGGACGGGGCGGTTCACCAGGAAAAGCCTGGGATGGGAGGGATCCTGGTGGCTTGGAGTTGGAAGGGGGCAGGGAGGAACAAAACCCGATCCCCTTCACACACTCCCTGAGGGTCTCTGGTTGGTCCCTGGGCGATGGGCTCAGGTGGGCCCACAGAACTGCCATCCTCAGGAGACTCTGAGGAGCACAGGCCTCCCAGCTCCCACTGTCCACTCGGGTTGTGGTTTTAAAAGCCTTGTACTGTCCTCACCTCAGTTCACTGAGCAGCACCCAGCTGTGTCTCCCCCGGGCCACCTGCCTGTACGGTCCCATCTCTGCAGGGGTGGGAGCCCGAGCAGCTCCACCAGACTTGGGGGCTGCAACCCCTGGCCCCCTTTTCTGCTGGGAGCTGGGTCTGCTCACCCTCATGCCAGAGCTGGCGCCACTCCTCACTGGGTCTGTGGCTCTGGCAAACCCCTTCCTTCCTCTCAGCCCTGGCTGCTCAGTGGGCACAATTACCCCATTGGGCTTTAAAGGTCATTCTGGATGATTCCATCCCTCGTTCTTGGTGGGCGCACTGAGACACGGGGGGAGGGCTTCAGCACCCCGGTAAGCTCCTCTTCTTCCCTCCCACTCTGTAAGAGGGGGCGAACCCTGGCCCAACCCAGCTCTGTGGTCTGGAAGTAGGGGGCTGGTTTGGGGGAACCCACATGGCTCTTCACACACAGCCCCAGCCCCAGCCCCAGACTCCTCCTACTCTGTGCATCCCGGGAGGGAGGGCCTACAGTGTCCCCTCCAGCAGCCCCTGCCCAGTCTCCATGGATCCAGTAGGGTCCAGGCTGCTGAAGGAAACCGGGACTCCCCTCAAGCTGAGAAGAGGGTGTGAGGGGGTGACTAAGCAACACGGCCTCAGGGTGCAGGGCCTGAGGATCTCCACGGGAGAAGGTCTGACTAGATTAACCTCAGCAAGCACCTGCTAGCTGGTATCCGATTCTGCCCATTTCTCAGATGAGGAAACTGAGGCTCGGACCGGGCTCAGGGTCAGTCAGTGTTGTAGCCCAGGTAGGTCTCCGGTCTCTAATCTAAGCTCTCTGCTGGGGTGACTCTTCCAGGGGGTGGGGGTGGGGCAGGAACAGGCTCTGAGAGCTGTGGAGGGCCCCCTGCAGTTCACGTTAGATTTTTACCACCAGCTCCAGACCCCCACACCCTGACCACTGCTCTGCCCTCCTACCGCCAACCTGATGTCTGCCATCACTGCAGGGGGAGGGGGTATCAGCAACTTGGTTCCAGAAATGGCCCCTTCACCCTGGCCTCCATCACCCTCAGCGACTCTGGGCTTGGACTCCCCAGAGGTGAGGGCCCTTCTTTCACTTGCCTCCACCTGACATTTTATTTTACACATATTTTCTTTCTGATTAGTTACAAAAATTTTTTTCCTCTGGAGTTGCAATTTAAACAATATTTGAAGCCCGCCGAAGCTATCGACCAGGCCACGGTGATGAATTAGAGACGGTAATTCGAATCCATCGACCGCCCCGCCCCTGCCCAGGAGCCCGCCGCCCCTCCCCCAGCCCTCTCCCATAATTACTGTTTGAGGCGGAGCAGGGAGGGCTTCGTCGAAGAGGAGGCAGCTGAGAAGCTGCCGGAAACCGCAGGACCCGGGATGGGGTGGGGTGAGGCCCCAGTGGCAGTGGGTTTGGGGGTGCTGTAGGACTGGCCTTGCCGAGACTAGGGGAGTCCTAGAATCTAAGAATGTCAGACCCAGAACCTGGCTCCTCTAATGCACTGACTTTACAGATGGGTAAACTGAGTCACGCAGCAAAGGCAGGCCGGGGTGGAGTGGGGGGGGAGGGGGCCTGAGATCTACCTGGTCAGAATTCTCCGGTGCCTTTCGGAAACAAAGAGAGCACCCTTCCCCCTCGGCTCCTGATCCCAGAGAGAGAGAGAGAGAGAGAGAGAGAGAGAGAGAGGGAGAGAGAGGAGGGGGTGGAGGCAGAGCCCGGCCTGTGGGCCCCACACACAGGAGCTACAACTCGGACCCTCATACTCCCACCTCTCCTTTGGGGTCTCTCTCCCCCCCCCCACCTCCCCCGTCTCTCTCTTTTGGTCTCTCCAGTTCTGCCTCCTCCTGTCCTTTCTTTGTTTTTGTCCCTCTGTCTCCTGCCTCTCTCCCTTTCCCTCTCCGGTCTGTGTGTGTGTCTGGCCTCCTCCCGGCCACAGTATGGGGATCGGCGCGGGCGCCACAGCCCGGAGCGGCCGGGCGGGGCAAAGCCCTTGGTGCCCGGGGCCAGGAGGCGGGGCGGGCGGGCGGCTTTCGCCGGCCCGGGACCGGGGGAGGACGGCGCTGAGGTCTCCCTGCCAGGGTCTGACCTGTGCCGAGGGGGAGCGGGTGGGCGCACCCCGAGGCGCTGGGCCTGCCCCTGCGGGGTGGCACCTTCAGGAGGGGCGTGCGCCCCGTCTCCTCTCTAACTGCCCAGACTTGCCGCCACTTAACTGCTCCGTGCCGGCCGGTGCTGATCACCAGCCTCCGCGCCTCACAGCCCGCCCAGCAGACGCGCCCGGAGCGCGGAGTGTCCAGGCCCCCAGGCCCGGGCGCGCACCGGGAGGGCTGGCTGGTCACCGCGGGGGCCGAGGCAGGCGGACCGGTTCACTATCCCCACCGCCCAGCCAGCGCGGCCAGGCCTGCACTCACCCTTCCCGCATCCCTCAGGGCCCGATGCCAAAGCCAAACCCTGGCTCGGAGTGGGAGGCTGGAGCTGCCTGGCGGAGGAGGCCAGCCCGGCCTCGGGTGCCGCATCTGTAATTCACAGGCGGCGGGAAGGGAGTCAGGACACCGGCCACGACTCCCCCCGCGCCCCCGGCAGCCGCACCCCTCCACGGGCTTTCCCACCTGCGCGTTGTCCCCTGGGGCCTGGCTATCTTTCAGGCCTGAAATATGAGACTGAGACACTGCTAACGGGCTGTGGTAGTTAGACAACGTGACAGCGAGGAACACGGGAAGCGGCGTGTGGGCTGTGGGGTGCACCCACGCTGAGCACAAGGTCCCCAACAGACAGGCTCCGGGGAGGAGGTGGAAGGCGGCGCGTTGTGTTGCCCGTTGAACCAGTGCCCCTGAGTGCCTAATGCATTGGGGGGTACTTTGGCCAGAGCATGGGGGGGGGGAGGGTGCTCTGCTGCCTGATGCCACCTCCTCTGCTCACAGCAGGCTGTGGCTGTGTTGACATGGCTGAATGTCCCCCTCAGATACCCACCTGCCACTGTGTGTGTGATGGGGAGGGAGGCAGAGCTGGGCGGCCCTTACACAAAACCGTGCAGGCTCCTGAGGCCGTCTCTAAGTCACAATCACCTCTCCGCACACTCGGCCACCGGCCACACGAGGAGAGTGTATTTCCCAGCCCCCAGGGCGGAGGATCTAGGAAGCCCATGGGGCCCCCACTAGTCACCTCACCCTGCAGGGGGGAAACTAAGGCTCCTGTGGGGGTGCAGACTCCCCAGTTGTCCAGTGTGCCTGGGGGGAGGGGAGGAAGGAACACAGGCCCCCTCTTCCTAGCCCCCCCAATCTGGGAGGGGCACAGCCAGGGCCCCCGCCTCCCTGCTTGAGGGATGCCCAGTGTAAGCCCTGGTCCAGCCATCCAGCCCCGCTCGCCCCTGTGCTCAGAGCAGCCATCGATCCAGCGCCTGCGGCAGCTATTGTCCCGGTGGCTGGAGCATCTGCAGCCCCCTCCCCGGCGTGGCCAGGGGAGACCACCCCTCACAGGCCCGGCTGCTTCCCTGCACCCCCACGTGCACCGGGAGAGGAGGAGGCTTGGTCAGGCCACCTCTCTGGGGGCAGGAATGGGGTCCCCAGAGGGGCTGGGGGCTGAGACAGACACAGAGGCTGAGGGACAGAAAGTGTGACAGAGAGGAGAAAGAATGAGGAGGGACAGGGAGAAACACCGCGAGCAAGCAAAAAATAAATAGATGTTAGGCCGTGCCGGCAGACAGAGAGAAGGTAGACATGAGAGAAACATAAAAACAAAAACAAAAAGGCAAGGCGAGCCGGGAGTGTGCATCCGGGCCCAGAGCAAACGCTCCAGCGGGCGACGGGCCGGGTGTGAAGGCCTCTGGACCGACCGCAGGACGAGGGTTCCCCGGCCTCCCCTCCCCCCGGCTCTCCCGTGACCTTTGCCAGCGGCCGGAGGTGGGGAGGGGGCTATCGATCCAGAGGCTGAACCACAAAGATGCGCGCGCTGGGGCCAGGGGCTGAGCACCGGCCTGGCCTGGCCGCCAGCGGCCCTCGCCCAGCGGGCAGCCCCAGCTCCCGCCCCCGGCTGGGGGCACAGCCGGGCCTGTTTGGGAAGGGGAGAGTGGCACCCTGAACTGACAGCCACAGCGTATCTGGGGCACCGCACCCCTATTCCCCTCCCCACCACCACCACCACACGCACACACAAACACACAATGATCGACTCTGCAGGACGCTTCAGGGACCCTGGCTTCCCGGACGGGCTGGGCGGATGGCTAGGGGAGGGGCGGGGGGAGGCGGCACAACCCTTTCCTCCCTTTTGGCGACGGTACAGGCGGGCAGGGGCGCAGATCACGCTCTAACCTCCCCGAGCCGGCCTGAGGGGGGAGGCCGGGACTTGGGGAGGCGGCCGGGGCTGCTTGGTTGTGGGGAGAGCCCCGAGCCAGCGTCCCGGGGGCGGCGGGCGGGCGGTGCGCGCCGCGCTCCTACCTGCGAGGCGCAGCGCCGACATGCGCTGGAACTCGGGCTCCTGCAGCCACTTCCACATCCTGCGGAAGGTCTCCCGGCCCGACTTGAGCTTGCTCCAGGGCTTGGGGTTGCGCAGCAGGTCGGAGAGCGTGCCCTGCGAGCGGCACAGGATGCGCTGCGCGAAGATGGCCTGCGGGATGCTGTAGCGCTTCAGCTCCGCCGTGATGCGCTGCGCCACCTCCTTGGTGTTGATCTCCTCGGCCGCCGCGCCAGCCCCGGGGCCGCCGCCTGGGCCGCCGCCGCCTCCAGGGCCGCCGCCGCCGCCCGCGTGCGGCCCGTGCGCCCCGGCCGCCGCCAGCCCGCCCAGCGGCGCCAGCAGCCCCGCCGCGCCCGCGCCGCCCGCGCCGCCGCCGCCGCCGCCGCCCCGGCAGCCCGCGGGCCAGCGCGTCCTCGGCGCGCCCCAGCAGCGCGGCGTGCGGCTCGAAGGCGGCGGGCGGCAGCAGCTTGTCGCCGGCCAGGTGGCCCGGGGCGCCGTAGGCGGCCAGCGGCGGGGGCGGCGGCGGCGGCGGCGGCTGCGGGGCCCCGTGTAGGGCGGGCGGCAGCGGGCTGGGCAGCGGCGACAGCGGCGAGCCCATGGCGGGCAGCTCCTTGCCGTAGGGCCCGTAGAGGTGGCCCACGGAGGCCAGCGCGGCGCGCTCGTCGCGCATGAGGGTGAAGCTGCCGCTCACGCTGGCCGCCAGGCGCTGCGGCGGGGGCGGCGGGGGCGGCGCGGCCGCCGGGTGCGGGTGCGCGTGCGGGTGGCCGCCGTGCGCCCCGGCCACCGCCGCGGCCGCCGCGTGCTGGTGGAACTTGTCGGCCACGGCCGCGAGCGGCGGCAGGTGCTGCAGGGGCGTGAGCGTCGTGTAGGTGCCGCCCAGGCCGGGCGCCTCGCAGGCCATGCCCATGGCCGGGTGCAGCGGGCCCGCCAGTTCCCCGCGGAAGTCCGCGCCGCCGCCCGCGCCGCCCGCGCCGCCCGCGCCCCCGGCGCCGCCGCCGCCGCCGCCGCCGTCCAGCAGGCTCGCCATGCCCGCCACCAGCCCCGGGCGCCCGGGCGCCACCAGCCCGCGGTGCTGCGCCGCCGCCGAACGCGCGTGGCCCGGGCTCAGCAGCTCGCCCGCCTGAGCGTGGGCCACGCCGTGCAGGCCCCCGAGGCTCTCCAGGCTGAGCTCCATGCTGGGCCGCCCGCCGCGCGCTCTGCTCCGCGCCGGCCCGCGCTCAGGCCCGCTGCATGGCCCCGCCGCTCCCGGGGCTGCGCGCGAGGCTGCCTAGCTGCGCGGCGCGGGGCCCGGCCTGGCTGCGAGCGCGGCCACCAGGATGTGGCGGGGGATCGGCGGCCGACGGCCGGGCCCGGGTCTGACGTCAGCGCCCCCGCCCACCCACTCCCCTCGCCGCCGCCTCCCGCCACCTGGCTCCCCGCCCTCCCGGGTCCCCTGGAGCGTCAGGCCGGCCGGAGCGGGCCTTCTGGGTCCCCTGCCTCTGCGCGGCCTCCTGGGGCCGGATTTGCCAGGGACTGCGGGAGGGGGCCCGGGGACAGACTCTGGCGAGCTGGGGCCGGGGCCTCCGCTCTGGGTCTCTGCTTCCACGTCCCTCCCCAGAGGGTCAGGGGGAATACTTTCCTGCCAAGGACGCCTGGGTCCATCCCAAGGGAGTGTGGTGGGGTTGTGGCTGACGAGGGACCTAGATCCCCTGTTCCCCCACAGCGCACACACCCACCCCAGGAGGTGGACCCCCCCAAGTTCAGTCCCTCTGTCCACCCCCGCGGGGCGCCAGGCCCGCTCACACACTCTGGGGAGCAGTGGTGAGGAGAGGAGGGTCCTCAGGTCGGCTCAGGGCCTGTTTGCTGGACTGTATGGAGCTGCTCCCGAGGGTGGGCACCCTGTCCTCAGTTTCCTCAGCTGTACCATGGAGAACCTGGCCTCAGGGGTGCCAACCGCCCCTCCCAATTCCAGGCCCTTCTACCTTCCTCCTCAGGGTGGGAGTGGCTTGGGGCTCACCCCCCAAGAGGCCCTGCCCTCCAGCTCAGGCCAGTAAAGATGCATCTCCTCTGCTTCCCCCACCCACCCTGCTTGTGGTTTCTCTTTTGTGTTGGGGGAGCAAAGGCCCTCCTTCTCCTAGCCACTTGGCCACTTGGAGACAGGTGAGGCCAAGGGCCCCAGGGACTGGGAGAAACCGGGGCCTCCCACACTCAAAGACACTCACAGGTGACCCCTCCAGTGGGGTCAGATGCAGGTCGGAAGGGGGGTCTGGAGCGGCCAGACCAGACCCCAAAGGCCAGAGTCTTAGGTGGGGAAGGAGCCCTCAAATCAGCCCACTCCCCACTTCTCCATCTGTCCCCCCTCCCCCCGGGACCTTTGCTCATTTTCCAGAAGAGGGGAGGGGTGGTAAAGCTATTAATGCCTCTGCTGGAACCCCCCATGCACACCACTTAGGCACCCCACCCCACCTTCAATGGGATCCCCCGCCCTGCAGTTGTGGCTACACCTTGGGGACTTGATTGTTGGCACTGCACATCTGCGCAGGGCCCTTTTCCTGCCTCAGTTTCCTTTTCCTGCTTGCCCCAGATGAGAGCAGAGCACCAAAGTGAGGGAGGACCTTCTCTGTGGTCCAGGGAGTCAAGAGTCCAGGTGAACCAGCCCCTGCCCAGGGAGAGGGATTGGGAGTGGGGGGAGAAGGAGAACTGGAGGATAGAGTGGTCAGATCCAAGTCCTGGGGTGGGGAGGACTCAGGCACACACTCTCTCCTCCCCCAGCCCGAGGGGGAGTCAAATCACTTCCTCCTCCGGCCTCAGGACCCAGGCAGAACATGGTCGTGGTGGGAGGGGGACAGGGAGAGTTCCCCCTTGGTTCCCATGTTGTGTCCAACTGTGACACTGGATCCCATGGGCATTTCAAATTCATGATTTGGATACAATTTCAGGTTATTTGTCATTGCACCCTTCTTCCAGGTGAGAAAACAGAGGTGGGAGAGATGGGTGGGTCTGGATAATTGAAGACTCCCATGCAGATTCCAAGTGGGGTGGAGGTGCAGATTCTGGCTTTGCTCAGGGCCCCAGCGTGGGCGCCCCCCCTGACCCTCCGACAATCACAGACACAGATACGCAATTAAAAACATTCATGGGATTTAAAAACCAGCCTCGTAACGTGATTACACCCCAGGCCCAGAAACTGGGGGTCCCGGTCTCCATGGCTGGAAAAGCAAAGGTGAAAGCTGAACCCCGACATGTCAACAAAGGGGTGCTTCATGGGGGTCACTGTCAAGCAATCTCTTGTGTCCTTTTTATCTTCTTTCAGCCCCGCCCAAGATCGTTTTCATTTGTATAGCGAGCATTGTGGGTTTCCAGTCCAATAAGGAAAGCGTCCATTTTGAAGGAAGAGAGGTGGGCTGGGGGCTGCCTCGGGACCCCCTGAGCTCCCCAGGCTCGGACAGGCCTCCTGGACCCTGGGAGTCAGCTTCCGGCAGGACAGGGTCTGGCTCCCGGGCAGGCTGTGCTCCCACTGGGAGAGGGAGCAGGATTTCCCAACCCCCAGAAAGAGAGAGGGGGGTGGCCCCGGAGCCAGAGGACAGCTTCCTCGCCACCGGCCTCTTAGTAATTAGTAAAATAGAATTGAGCCTGCCGGGGGGCGGGCTGGTGGCTTGAGCATGATCGATTTTGCATCATTAGGCAAATTGACGGCCGGGGAGGGGAGAGCTGGATGGGGGCAGGGTGCCCCCCATTCTCTACTCTCTGGGGACCTTAGTCCCTGTGGGGGACGCTCTCCCTCAAGGGAAATTGGAATTGGACTCCTGGAGCCTGAGCCTGCACCGCGGGGTGCCTCTGCGGGGGGCTGGGCTGCTCCTGGCCACTGCCCACCCTCTCTGTGCCCAGCCAGCCCTGGCAGGACGGAAAAGCGCCACTGGGGTTCTGGTGTTCTCTTCGCCCTGGGGGCTCAGTCATCGACAGCTCCAGTCCCCCAAGCCCACCTCCCCCAGCTGGACTCTGATCAGCTCCCACCTCCGCCCCTCTCCTGGGCCAGGCCGCGCTCCCCGTTCTGGTTCCCGCATGCGGGGCGGAGGCGAATGCACCTCAAGTTCCTCCTCCCTGGGCTTCCGAAGCCCCTCCACGGCTGGCTGGCCCTGGTTCCATTCGTCTCCCCTGGAAATGGCACTCCCCGGCCGCTCGCACCCCTTCTTTTATTAGAGCGAGGTTTTCATAACGTCCCCTCAGGCTGAGCCCGGGGTCCGAGCCGGCCCAGCTCCAGCCCCTCAAACCTGCGGTGCCCACAGCCCGGCCGCCGCGCCCCCGGCGGGGCCCATTCCTCCGCCCGCTCCGGCTCCTTCGTTCGGGCGGGGTCCGAGGACTTATTTGGATTTGGGGGGGCAGGGTCTGGCGGGGGTCCCGGCGAGGCTGCGCGCCTGACGCCCCAAGGTTTCACCATCGGGTCGTGGGGGCGCGAGGACCCTCCCAGCGCCAAAGCTGGGATGCAGCGACGCTGGGGTTTCGCCCCTGGCGGGCCAGTCGCCCCAAGCTTCCCGCCCGCGGTCGGGGGGCGCCGGGCCGGGTGGGCCCGCGGGTTAGACACTCCAGCGGGATCGTTGGCAACAGCTGCGCGGGATCGATCCCCGCGGCCGCCCGGGCTCCGGCGCCTCCGCCGCGCCGCGCGGCTCCATCGAATCCTCGTCGCTCCGGGCCGCCCGCCGCGCTCTGCAAACACGGCGCCTGTTTGCGCTGGGCTCCGGGCCGGGCCCGCGGCCGGCAGGGGCTGGGCGTCTGAGGGCCTCGGCCCTCGGCCCTCTCCCCCGGCTGCTGGGCCTCCGCAGGCCCGGACTTGGGGGGACACAGTCAGCGGAGGAAAGCCGTCCTCTCCCGCCCCTCTCACTGCGCGCGGGTGGCTGGTCGTAGACCGAGCTGGCGCTGGGGCCTGGACCACGGGGTTTGGCCCGCATTGCTCCGTCCACGCCTCTGTTTCCCCACCTGGAGAAAGGCACTCCGGGGCCCTCGAGGTCTGCTCGCTCTCCTCCCGCTCCCTCTGGCCGCTTCGCCTCCTCTGCGCGCCGCGGGCCCAGGGCGGATCGGGGAGCAGGGCGGGTCCCCGGGGTTGGAAACGCGGCCAGACGCAGTTGGAGGCGCAGCCGGAAAGAGCTGGAGACACGAATGAGCCCCCTACCTCACACCCAGACCCAGACCCTCCTCTCTGCCGGGGTCACCCCACCCCTTTGAGCTAATGAGGAACTAGGAGTGTGTCCCCAAGTTTGCAGATGGGGAGCCCGAGGCCAGGCCCGGCGGGGCGCAGCGGGGACTCCCGGAGGGCGCGGAGGAGGGCCGGTGGGCGCCCGGTGCCCAGCGCCGCCGGCCGCGCCAGTCGGGCCCCGCGGGCCGCGGGCTTCCCGGGCGCAACGAAACCCGCGTCCGGCGCCGCGCTCCGGAGGCCCCCGCGCCACCCCCGCGCTGAGCTAGGCCCCTGGCGGCTGAGTGAGACCCCGGCCTCCCGCGGCCCGTGCCCCCCGGCCCCTCCAGGAAAGCGGCTCCGGCATTAAACATGTAAGTGTGTGTGCAAGTGTGTGTGCGTTTCCTCCACAGCGCGCTCCTGGGCAGCGGGGCGCGGAGGACCCCGGAGCCTGGCGTCGGTTCGCGGAGGCCCCGAGCTGGGGGTCTGCGAGGCTGCGGCGGGGCTGCGGCGGGGCTGCCGCCGGGGTAGGGGGGGGGGCAGGAACCGCCTGGCCCGGGGTCCCGGCAGCCGGCTTCCACACCCCGAGTGCCCGGCGCCGGGCTCCGGAGCCCAGAGCACGAGGAGACAGGCGGGAGGACGGGCGGGGGCAGGCGCCCACTTTCCCGACGCGGAGCCCGAGGCCCCGGCCGCAGTGAGGACCCCGCCCTCGGAGCGTCCAGCGCCCCCGCCCAGGTAACTTCCTGCTGGAACCCGGCCCGTTTGGCGCCCCATTAACGCGCCATTTATCTGAGTACACCCGCGCCCTTTCCGCTCCGCTGGGACGGGGAGGGGGAGGGGAGGGAGAGGAGAGGGGGAGAAGGCCTTGCCCCACTTGACAGCATGGCTGGCCTCCTCCTTCCCCTGCCGCCCTCCAGCCTGTCTCCTCTTCTCTCTCTTTGGGGCTGAGAGGCCAGCAGACCTCTGAGGCACCCTGAGGATGTGAGGCTGGGCAAAGGGGTGCGTGCAGGAACCCACAAGTCCAGCATGGAGGAAGGGAGCCGGCCATTCCCTTGATGTAAGAAACCTGTCTGCGTAGCTCGGACCTTAGCCGGGAGGCCTCAGCCCCTGCCTTCCCCATGGAGCTTCTAGGCGTGGGGAGGCAGGGAGAC